TCCCAATATACACCTTGATATTCTTCCTTGGATAATATACAGGATTTCCCAATATACACCTTGATATTCTTCCTTGGATAATATACAGGATTTCCCAATATACACCTTGATATTATTCCTTGGATAATATACAGGATTTCCCAATATACACCTTGATACTCTTCCTAGGATAATATTCAGGGTGTCCCAATATACACCTTGATATTCTTCCTAGGATAATATTCAGGGTGTCTCAATTTAAACCTTGATATTCTTCCTAGGATAATATACAGGGTGTCACAAAAAACAACTTGATGTTCTTCCTTCGATAAAATAAGGTTTTCCAAATATACATTTAGATATTCTTACTTAAATAGAGTGTCACTATATATAGATATTCATCCAAGAATAATATACAGCTAGGGTGTCGCAATATATATTCATCCTTGATTAAAATAATTCTTGATAACAATTAAGAATTCCCGAGCAGTTATTATAATTTTACAACAACAAAAAGTTAAAGATGAATAATTTCGTCCCTTAAATCCCCTTTTCTTGGAATACCCTGTAGAGTGTAGATATTAGCCTAATATTTTTGTAAAATGTATTTAGAAACAAAAGTGTGTTTATACAAGCTTGGTGCTTAAAAGTAATTGGTCTGCTAGCTATGAATATATTCATTGAAAACTATTGAAATTGTTTAGAAGACATTTATATATTTAATCTCACCATTTGAATATGGAATATGGAATATAGAATATTCTTAAATAAAGAAAATTGCATGAAGAGTATTGTTTTGGAAGATGTTTTAATGGGAATGTATGCATATTTATGAGTGACTTTTCCCTTTAAAGAAATTGAAAACATGGAATGTCAGACATTCCTGGTTACCACAATAAATCTGCTAACTGAATCAGCAAAATTAAAAAAACACTAAAACATACAATCAACCTTTGTGAGTGTCTTAAAATACTGGTTTCGACCAAATTTCTTTTCTCAAATTATCAGAACCGGTAAAAGAAGGAAAAGAAATAAATAAAGAAATGATGTCAAGAAGAATTATAAAATCTTAATTTTTCTGTATTAATTATATCCAAGTCATGAATTTGAAAATTTTTGATTTTTGTAAAAAATGCATTTGATAAACTTGTAAACTTAGTATTCGTGAAAAGAGAAAAATGTCACACCCTGATATTTCCCACGATATTCATTTTTATTCCAGCCGTTTACCCGCGCTTAGTCGTAAATTGTGATTTTAACTATTTTTCTTTATAAAAGTGAACCCACTTAGTATCTCAAACCCCAGATAAGAAGATTCCTGTGGTTCTCCCGAGTTCCCCAACTAGACCTTGAGGCTAATCAGTCAAGGGGTTCCCGAGTTATAAACGGACATAAAAAACAGAGATTATAACTTTCTATAAATAGATATTGATATGATCTGACTGAAGGGTTGCACTTATTTGATGAAAAACAAACAAAAAACAAACATCTAAATTTTCAAAGTTTATTTAGAATTAGCTTAAACAAATAGATACAATCAAAATTCCTTGCAATAGTATTCAGTTTTTTTTCAGTTTTCTTCTAATTTATTTCAGAATATCAAATAAACACATTTTCTTCAGTTTTCTTGTAATTTATTTCAGAATATCAAATAAACATATTTTCTTCAGTTTTCTTGTAATTTATTTCAGAATATCAAATAAACATATTTTCTTCAGTTTTCTTGTAATTTATTTCAGAATATCAAAAAAACACATTTTCTTCAATTTTGTTGTAATTTATTTCAGAATATTAAATAAACATATTTTCTTCAGTTTTCTTGTAATTTATTTCAGAATATCAAAAAAACACATTTTCTTCAGTTTTCTTGTAATTTATTTCAGAATATCAAATAAACATATTTTCTTCAATTTTGTTGTAATTTATTTCAGAATATCAAATAAACATATTTTCTTCAGTTTTCTTGTAATTTATTTCAAAATATCAAATAAGCATATTTTCTTCAGTATTCTTGTAATTTATTTCAGAATATTAAATAAACATATTTTCTTCAGTTTTCTTGTAATTTATTTCAGAATATCAAATAAACATATTTTCTTAAGTATTCTTGTAATTTATTTCAGAATATCAAATAAATATATTTTCTTAAAGGTTCACATTAAACCTGTGGAATGTGGAAAATATTGTCGTTTTTCTAGGTTTAAAAGTTTTAAAATCTAAAAATTCCCACATGTTTTTCTGCAGTAGAAATGCGCAAATTACGTTTTTAGATAATCCACAATTAAAAATAATTAGATTTTTTAAAATTATTAACATATATCTAATTCATAATTGATCAGATCTATATGTTCAGTGTAAATTGGTCATTTTAAATCTATAAATGCTGGGGGATCTGAATCTTGCATAGACTGTCCCCTAGAAAAAGACCTTAGAGAATAGGTATAGGGTTGAAATGCATGTTCATAGACCAATTTTTCAAGGCCAGCTCATTAAAGGGAGGGCTGAAAAAAATGTAAAAAATATTTGTTTTTGTTTAAAACAAATAGCAAAATGTGACACATGTTTCTACATCAATTTTTCAAGGGCTTTAAACAAATATAGATTTTAGATTTGTAGCTTTAGTCGTAAAAAATGTATCGGCTGTTTTAGATTTTTTTTTTACCCAGACCGAACATTTTACCTGTGGCTGTACCCTAACCTTTGCATGAAAATTTTTTTTACAAAAAATCCTTGAATTTCTATTTATTAATAGTAAAAAAAATTCATGGTGATAGTGTCAAGAAGAAGAGTGCCAGGACATAAAAACGATAGAAGGGGGGCGCCAAACGCCAAAAAAAAAACAATTTTTAAAAAGCCTGGCCATCTTCAGGGATCTTAGTTTTGTATTGTTTACAGAAAAAAACTTTCTGACTTAAAAACGAAATTTATTTTTCTTATCCCGAAATTAAAGTGAATTTTACTTTCGCCTAAGTCATAAATTCGAGCGACAAAGGCCAATTAATACTTTACGCGATTTGAATTTACATTAAAGCAAATTTGGTCCATGCAATGGCGCAAGAGGGAAAGCAATTGTGTCGTGCAATTGACGGATTGGAAATTTATCTTGTACCTTATGTTCGTTGATTTAGAAGTATACAATATTGTATAAGGTAAAGTTAGTACAATTTGGTACAAAGCAGAAGTAAACATGTTACAAGAGAATAGGGAGACGTGGAAGAAGACCCATTAGCTCGAGCTAGCATTGATGGAAAACCTAAAATACAGGGTGTCCCAATAGACATGGGATTTAAGTGACGACTTCTTTATTGTCCTTGTTTTGCATTATTTACTCAACACGATTTAGTACATACAGTGAAATAACTCATGAAATGTCGTATTCTTCACTTTCTGATAATGGAATGATGCAAATATTTAGTTTTTTAATTAAATGATTAAATGGAACTCTTTAAAACTGTTCCCGCATATTCATGGCTATTTATTTATTTTCGCAAATACGGAAATTTACGTAATGTAGTATAAAACTCATTGAAAAATTGTCAAGACGACATTTGATAAATTCTTCCGATGTATTCGCTATAAAGGGTGTCACTGTAGTATCCCAGTTACAAATGTAAACATCTAAAACTAGTTGGTTCAGGAATTCCAAAATGTGGCACACCATTTTTGCACAATTAAAATTGACTGAGACATATTCATATTCCATGTTTATTAAAAACAACAACAAAATTGCCCAAATACTTGATATCTCCGTCAATTTTGATGACACACAAAATGTAGACCACATTCTCAGAAGCTTATCAGACATTCAATCCTTTAATGAAACACTTGTTGCCAATTATCGGAATTCAAACACGATTTTCAAGTCGTCTCTTAATTCCCATGTTTTTTGGGACACCCTGTACATGATAAAAGGGACTGTAAAGGAAAAATTAAAGGGGTATAGGCCTAAACCTGAGAATCTCAGGAGTTGATTGAGACATTTAAGAGTTTTCTCTAATGTTCTTGTCTCGAAAATTGATATAAAACTGTGTCAAAATTTTAGCAAAACGTATATTTGTAAGATTTTGCATAATATTTTTAGTATTAAACAGATTATATTCAACAAATACACAGCCAATCTGAAAACAACGGTATCCAAGAAAAGCCTGATAAACTCAAGTTTACTCCTATTATTATTTGAATTTAATAATTTTTCATTTTTAATAGATATAATTGATAATATTATTCATGCGTCTGGAACATGTCACCAAAACTCCAACCAATGGCAGTGCAGTAATTGTGTCACTTGTCTCCGGCTGTATCACATGACCAGTATACTGCACTGCCATTGGAGGGAGTTCTGAGATGGAATTTAAAGAATTTAAGCCGCGGTTTAAATCCGCCAAAACCCGGTTTAAATTTAGCGCCGGCTTAAATCTTGAAAGATTTGATACAATTTTAAGTGGAACCAACCATATTTAAACCGCGTCCTAAATTTAAACCGCCGCTCAAATTCTTTAAATTCGGCCACAGGTCACATGATACAGGCGTATATCTTACACATATACGTTTTGGTATAATTTTGACACAGTTTTATGTCAAATGCTCGAGACAGGAACATCATATAGATGCCCTATAGATATTGTTCAACTCCTGAGATTCTTAGGTTTCAGCCTATACCCCCTTTCATTTTTCCTTTACAGTCCCTTTCACTTTTTAAATTATATAATGTCAAGAAATACGATTTAAAGTTTTACAGTTTGCTTTGTCTAAATTATTGTTTTAAATATTGGCAATTCCTAATGAGGTTTAATCTAACTACAGTTTTCTTATTTTTAAAATATGCGAAAAAATTCGCACAATGTAATTAAAGCAAACTTAACGAGAACACGATTTTATAAGTTATCTTATCATGTAAAATACTACATTTCTCAAAACAGATGTTAAAACAATTGCCAATATATACATATGTAGAAGTGTAATTTAAAATGATTCTAAATTTAAAGAATTTTAGCCGGTGCTCAATTAAACCAGTTTTTGCCGATTTGAGACGCGGCTCAAATTCATTAAATTCGGCCTCTGTGTGATTTCTAAAATCGGAGGTCTGATGTGAAAAATTTAGAATCTCTAACAAATTAGAAGAATTGATATTGTATAAAAGGGGTCTCCGATCGTACCCCCTGGGACCCATAAATGCAAATATAATATGAAGAAATTCTGTGCAGTCGTCTCTGAAGCCTTATCATGTAGTTCAACTGTTAACTAACCTGGAGAATATAAAGTAGATCTTGTTATTTTATAGTTGGTCCCAGGCAACTCCAGCTCACACTTAAACAATTAGATATTTTATCTTGAAACGATTTATTACTAACTTGTTAAAGTGCCTGGTGCATCGGGAATTTAAATCTCTCCCGATTGGGCAATTTTTGTCTAATATAGAATTTTGAAATAGTTTATTTGGGAATTTTAGATTATTAACTTGGGAGCAAACATATGCTGGGTTTCTGTTAAAGTTTATCTCTATCTATAGTAATGGTCTTTCTTTGTTGGATTCTTGCAATATTTCCCCCAACATACTCTTATAATATTCTTTAACGAATAGATCAGCTCCTTGCTTTAGATTTTATTTACATAAACATGTTTATCTTCTATATAAGAAATATGCAAACAGTATAGACTAAAAACTGATTAAGCGATGTTTTGTACAAAATTTTCAATATGCTTGCTTGCTTAGGATTTTAAGGTATAAAAATATAAAAATGTTACAAAAAAAATCTAAAATATTTTTGAAACATAAAAAAATCTACGGAACCAAATTTTTTTTATTCTATTATTTTCCAAAATGTCATAAAAATTCAAAAATAATTGAAAGAGATATAACAAAACCGCAAAAAATCTAAAACTTAAAATTCACGAATTTGGGGATTGACTGGGCATAATTATTGTAAAATTCTTGAATAAATGTTTTCTTTAAAATAAATAGGCCCGCTGATCTATTGAACCATATTAACGACATTTTTTCTGGAATCCATGGGTGACATAGTCTAAATTTTTTTTTTATTTTGGCAATGCCGGGTACTCCAGCTAGGTGCATATATTTCTTGTTAATGCGTTTTCATTTGTCTGTTTGTATCCCAAAAATGTGTAAAAGGTTTCTTTTCTAATTTCTACTTTTCAACTTTGGACTTGTTAAAAGCACTTGACAAAGAAAATTGTACAATTATTTCAAATAAATGAAAAAGTTATTAATGGTCCTTCCAGATTTCTCGTCAAATGTATTAACAAAATTAACTTTTAAACTTATTATGAAAAAAAATTTTATTTCACAATGAAATTATTTAATGGTAGTGTAATTGCAAGCGCCACCTGTGGAATTTCAAAACCCTTGAAAAATATTTCCTATTTTACATAAGCGATCAGAGCTTTCTTATATTGATATTAAGTTACCTGGAAAAGATTTTCAATATGTAGTGAAGAATCGTCCAGAATTATGTACACAAGGACCTTCCAGGCACCATCTCTGTACAGTATATAGTGTAGAGTCATGAACAAAGTAATTAAAAAGTCATGTACTCAAAATAAGACATTGAATTACTGCGATTCAAGGAAAGTTGACATAGTTAGATGTATCTATCATCTATTTATCTATCATCTATCTGTCTATATATCTATCTATCTATCTATCTATCTATCTACTATCATCGATCATCTATCTATTTATATATCAATCTATCTATCTATCCATCTATCTATCATTCGATATATCCCTCTATCTATCTATCTATCTATCTATCTATCTATCTATCTATCTATCCATATATCTAACTATCTATCTATCTATCTATCTATCTATTTATCTATCTGCTCTATTGATTACGAGGATAAAGGACATAAAGTAAAAAAAGTCTTAAAGGATTATACAGATTGGATGGATGTGGATGGATAGAATGGATTGAGAGATAGATAGATAGATAGATAGATAGATAAATAGATAGGCAGATAGATAGACAGATAGAAATGAGGATTTTTCAGATAGTTGGTCAGATAGATAGACTATAGAAGATGGGATTATAAGAAGGATGGATTGATAAAAATTCAAATTGATAAATTATTTCCTCTATTGGTAGCCAAATAATTTACAAACTTTTGTGTGTAGAGAAATTGAGTTTTTGCCATTGACTCTGCAATTTTTTTATCGCTAAATCTGTGAAACCCAAATTCCTAGACCTTAGATTATTCAAATTATGAAATCTGTTAGATCAAATAATCAAAGTTGGCAATATCAAAGGTTTACACCATCAGTATGCAAAGATGTAAGCAGTTAAAAATTTAAGTTGGTGGCAAGAACTAATTTCTTGAAAAAGGTCTTCCATCTCAAATTTGTTCATGACCGAATTACCCCTTTTTAAGTGGGAAAAGACATACATTCCCTTTCCTTTCTCCTTCCTCCACTTTAGTTTCAGTAGAAGTAAACATTTCCATTTACTGATAGCGCCCATTTGAAGGATTCATAACTCTGATTGGATAATGAGATACATAGAAAGATAGATGTTACTGTCATACTATTTCTATTGGTTCAGAATAGACAACAAACACATGACTGAACCCTGATTGGATCAGGCGCTAATGGACTTGGCATACAGGAGTGCCTCCTTCCTTTCCCTTCCTCCTTCTTTCCTTTCTTTCCCTTCCTCCTTCCTTTCCCCCTCTCCTACTCTCCTCCTTTCTTTCCCTTCCGCCTTCCTCCTTCATACATGCTAGTAGTATGAGTGAGGAGAAGGATGAAGGAAAAGAAAGGAGGATTATGAAGAGCAGGGATTGCGTGAGGATGGAACACCAAGGCCTAAATCTCTAGAGAATCCTTCAATAAACAATCAAGAAAGAAATTGGTTCAGGATTTTCTTATAATATAGAATAATAAAAAAGTATGATATGACTAGTTACACCCCTGTATCTATCTGTGACCTGATGCACCCCTTTCAATCGAACTCTGCTGGGCCCCTGACCATGGTAAAGTTGAACCTGAAAACAAAAAGTTTAAAGGGACTGTAAAAGAAAATTGGAAGCTTTGTTTGATCAAGTATAAATGTAAGGTATCAATTTTTGAAGTTTTGAAAAGTGATTATTTTCTTTACAAAACCGACTTGTGCAATTCTGATAAAGAAAGCAAAAATAAATTATCAAAATTTTAATAGAAAACTATCAATATTTTACACATTATTAATAAGATAAAAGTTTCAAGGATACCGTTGCGAACCTGTCATTGTCATCTTTGCATGGAGGGTAGCTTACTTCAAATTAACTTTATATACAATCTCTTTAACAGGTAAATAAATAATAAAAAAAGACTATAGTTTTTGCGATTTATAACACTATTTTTTCACAGGCAGCCGTAGTACATTTGAATTTCCGAGCCAGGTCAACCTTTCCAGTCCTAGTATGTACTGTATCGCCCGGACATGGGGTAACTAAAGCAGACACTTGATAGGACTAGCCGGTGCAGCAAGGTTGACGCGGTCAGACTTTAGGTTGAATTTACTTTTACTAAAGGGTCAGAGGTGCGTGATTTGGGTTCCCAGTGCTTTAATTCTTTGTAGATCAGACAGAAATTTTCTATTTTTACAGCCTTTTTACATTTCATTTGTTCTGAGCTTTAGCGAGGGACAAAAAAGAAAAGGTGCATATACAAAAGAAAGGTGCAGATACAAAAGAAAAGGTGCAGATACAAAAGAAAAAGGGGCAGATAATAAAGAAAATATAAATATTTTTTTTTTGCATGGAATTTTTAATTTTGTTTGTTTATTTAAGGTTTAATTCAAATTTAATTTACAAAAGTAATAAGTCATAACGTAAACCAAAAGCAAACAAAAAAGGGGAAAAAAACAATAAAAAAAATTTCCCTTTGATAAAAAACGGTTTGCTTTCATTTTATTCAAGTTTATTTCCACAAAAATGCGCGATTTTTTAAGAAAAAATATAAAAACAAACTGCTTTGCTGGTAGATAGATAAATAGATAGATAGATAGATAGATAGATAGATAGAGAAAAATAGTGCCGGAGATTGCAAACAATGTGAAGAGGACTATACAAACTAGAAAACATTCCATCATGGTATAAATGGGAAGAATGTTTACATAACAGTCTAAGTCCTTTGTTCAAATCTAGAAAAAGATTAAATTTTACTTTTGATTTTTAGAGATTTCAATTAGAAGAAATGAGGAACTCATGATGTGTACCTGTGGTCTAGGGATCTCATGATGTGTACATGTGGTTTAGGGAACACATCATGTGTACCTGTGGTCTGGGGTACACCCCATGTCATGTGCACCTGTGGTCTAGGGAACACATCATGTGTACCTGTGGTCTGGGGTACACCACATGTCATGTGCACCTGTGGTCTAGGGAACACATCATGTGTACTTGTGTTCTGGAGTACACCACATGTCAAGTGCACCTGTGGTCTGTGGAACACATGATGTGTACCTGTGGTCTGCGGAACTCATGTTGTGTACCTAAGGTTCAGGGAACACATGATGTGTAACTGTGGTCTGGGGAATACACGATGTGTACCTGATGTCTGGGAAACACATGATTTGTATCATGTGGTCTAAGAAACACATGATGTGTACCTGTGGTCTAGGGAACTCATAATATGTACCTGCAGTCTAGAGAATACATGATGTGTACCAACAGTCTAGAGAACAAATTATGTGTGCCTATGGTCTGGGGAACACATAATGTGTACCTGTGTTCTGGAAAACACATAATGTGTACCTGTGGTCTTAGAAACACATTTTGTGTTCCTGCGATCTGGGGAATTCATGATGTGTACCTGCGATCTGGGGAACAATATATGTGTACCTGTGGTCTTGGTAACATATGATGTGTACCTTTGGTCTGAGGAACCCATGCTGTTTCATTAGGTGTAGGGAACACAATGATGTGTATTTGTGGTCTGGGTGACACATGATGTGTACCTGTGGTCTAGGGAACACATGATGTGTACCTGTGGTTTAGGGAACACATGATGTGAACCTGTGATCTAAGGAACTCATGATGTAAACATTTGGTCTAAGGAACACATATTGAGTACCTGTGGTCTAGGGAACGCATGATGAGTACCTGTGGTCTAGGGAATACATTATGTAAACATGTGGTCTAAGGAACACATTATGAGTACCTGTGGTCTAGGGAACGCATGGTCTACGAGGCAGGATATGTTGACCGAATGGAAGCTAGTGTGCCTGTGAATCAGGTTCACCTGAATGATAACAAAATTAAAATTAGTATTAATTCTAACAATATTTTTTTGATATTATAAGTTGAACTAACCTGTGTTGGTGGACTATAAACTACCATCATACTAGAGAGCGACACCTCGTTTTCTAAAGTGGAAACCTAAAATAAAATTAGTTTTGAAAGTTCAATATAAATCATTTAGAGATTATTGAGAATTATAGATATGCGTGCGAAGAAATTCGTTTTCAGTTTTGGCACAGGTTAGCTACGTAAAGTATTGATAAACTATTAAAACTTTATATTCCGTTCATTGCTAAGTTTTTTTTCGAATTTAACATTTTTTTACTATACTTATGTTATCAGGCCTCAAAAAAAGCGTCAAATACCAGACGAAACTATTCAAATCTAAAAGGTTCTTTCTGAATCCGTCAAAATCCACCCAAGAAATCGTAATAGACCTTGTATACCTTATACATATAACAAACTGTATGAAATAAAGTAGAAACAAATCTGTATTTATTGGGAGAAAATTAGTTGGAAAGCGATGACTAAAGGATCGGACTTCGCTGAAAAAAAAAATTTATATCGTTTTTGAAATTGATAAGTAAAACTTTGTGTTTAAACTTTTCAAAGTTTTCTGGTCATCACTGTAGTTATATAAACTAAAGTAGAATAAAATATTTGATAATGAAAAAGTAGCAGTTTGTAAAGATATTAAGCTTACAGGTCGCTTCGCACCCAACTTCGATTTTAACTTCCATTTCCATTTTGTATTTTCTCTTCTTAAATTATTAAACATAAAAAAAAATTCGAGAATTTATCGATCTGATGTTTTGTGGGTTTTGTAAAATCTTCGAATGTTGACCATCTATTAAACTTCCCTATAGTCATGTGAGGTCCAAAAAAAAAATTAGATCGGATCGGTTCAGCCGTTCTAACGTTTATTGGATACAAACCAACCAACAAACACAATACTGGTAATGATTTAAAGATAAAAAAGGTTTTTTTACAGCAAATTTGATATTTGCTGAATACGAATCTTTTGTAAAGTATGAATAAGCTGTGCAAAAAAAACCAACTATATCTGAAACCTTTCAATGAAATGTCAGTGCACAACCTTGGAACATCAAAGCGATAAGATGAGTAAACATGAGATAAGATAAGATAAGATGAGTAAACATGAGATAAGATAAGATAAGATAAGATAAGATGAGTAAACATGTTCTTCAAAAAACGAAGAATATTATTCCAAAAAACCTTAATGCGTTTCTACAATTTTATTAAAAATTGTAGAATTAATTCTTTAAATATTTTTAACAATAACGCTATTTAACATTATTATAGAAATATGTCTGATTACTTTAGTATTTTTTGTATTAATTCAATGCGATATGTATCTATATGCGATAGTATTTATCTATGTTTAATCTCATTGAGATGATTATTAGACTAAAAATATCTTATTTTGGCATGTGGAACTTTTTTCATTATTTACTAAGTATGTGTAAAAAACCTGAACTGATCAAGCGCAAATTTTCATGTTTAATATGGCCGGTCGAAAAAAAATAATATGTCTTTTAAAATATTCAGATTATATTTATTCAGTAATCGTCAATCAGTAAAAAAAAATTTTTTTTTATATTTTGTAAATTTACCTATTAACTCAAATTTGTTATACCTTTATATTGCAACACAAATGTCGTAAACTTAGATATTTAAAACTGTGAATTTTGTAAGATCCAAAAAGTCTAAATTTTAAATAAAAAAGGCTTACACCATGCTGGTTGCACAGATATAGGGACTAGGAAAATTGATATATTGAAATTTTACTTTTTATATCGTTATATATAAATGTATTATTTATTATTATTTTTTTCAAATTTTACCTTGCATGTATACTCGCCCGACATATCAACAGTAGGATTGTACAGAAAAAGAGCTCTAAAAATTATTTTTATCATATTTTAACATGTTTTTTTATTTATCATTTATAAAAAGCAATCTATTTAACAATATGGAAAAATTAATCTGAGCTGAAAACTTTAGAATGTGATATCCTTAATCCCGATCTGTTAATTAATCTGGAGATTTATAACAAGAGGAGAACAAGCATTATTTAATCTTAAGATTTAGAAAAAGAGAGGATGAAGAATTGATCCCGATATCCACCATTCAAAAGTTCCCAGTTCTTCAGTTAATCCTTCAGGAACTGTGAGCCTAATGTCAAGTGACCCTCTATACACAGGTTTATAATGGTACCCTCCAAACTTGTTCTGCAGTATAAATTAGAATTTTATAATGTTTATACATTTTAAACTAATTATTTATAAATGTGGTTTCTCTACAATAGTTACTTGGGCATTTCTACTGTAGAAAAACCAATTTTAAACAATATCAAAAGGTCCAAAAATATTGATAATATAAAGATTCCAAGGAAATCGTTCTGAAGCTTTTCATGGAGGGTCAAAATTTGTCAAAGTGTAAGAAAAAAAATATTTACAAAAAAAAACAGATTAAAATACATTTGTGTTTCTTCTAAATTTGACCATTTATATTAATATACATATTTAAAAAAGAACTAAATTCACCGTATTCAAAAAATAAGTTAACATTTTTAACCATTATTTTTTTGAACTGCTAATCCGTTTCGTTAACGATATAAAAAATCATCGTTAACGGACTCTTCCGTTTATTTTCGAAAACCTCCGTTCCGTTAACGAAACTTTGTCCAGCCCTACCTATGCTTAGTATAGGGATCTTTACTAATCTCGAAATCTAGATCTATCTTCCCTCTCATAGCTCCCAACCCCTAGATTAAACTTGAGATTAAACTGGAGATTAAATTTGCGATTAAACTGGAGATTAAATATGAGATTAAACTTACGATTAAATATAAGAATAAACTGGAGATTAAATATGAGATTAAACTGGAGATTAAATGTGAGATTAAATATGAGATTAAACTGGAGATTAAATGTGAGATTAAATATGAGATTAAACTGGAGATTAAATGTGAGATTAAGTATGAGATTAAACTGAAGATTAATTATGAGATTCAACTGGAGATTAAACATGAGATTAAACTGGAGATTAAATATGAGATTAAATATGAGATTAAATATGAGATTAAACTGGAGATTAAACTGGAGATTAAACTGGAGATTAAATATGAGATTAAATATGAGATTAAATATGAGATTAAATTTGAGATTAAATATGAGATTAAATATGAGATTAAATATGAGATTAAACTTAAGATCAAGGATAAGATTACATATGAGATTAAATATGAGATTAAATATGAGATTAAACTGGAGATTAAATATGAGATTAAATATGAGATTAAATATGAGATTAAGTATGAGATTAAACTGAAGATTAAATATGAGATTAAGCTTTTGATTAAATATGAGATTAAACAGTAGAAATTAATTACCAGATTAAAACAAACTTTAGACAAACCTTAAATTAAACCTTGAATTAGACCTTAATTTAATACGGTATGAAATAGGTTACTTTGACACGTAAATAGATGTATTGCTTTATAAAACATTATTATTGTGAACTAGCTTTATCAGTCGTGGGCATTTCATGGTAAATATCATTATAGACGTCCTTTTAGCTGTAAAGTTACGAAGTATTAGCTGTGAAGTTTAAGCAGGGGGCTATTAACTATTTAAAACACTGTTATTTTGGTTCGCAGTGTTATAAAGTTTTTGGACAGAAATTTCTCTTTATCGAGAAGGTTCAAGACTTTTTAGATTTCATTTTATCCCGAGCTTTAGCGAGGGACAAAATATAATCTAAAAAGGCGAGAACCTTTGAGATATAAAGAAAATTTTTAGACTTAAAACTGTATAGCACGTTTATTATGAAATTCACGTTGAAGTGAGGAAGAATGATAAAGTACATTGTACACTGTACACAGTACACAGTGTTTTTGTTTTATTTTTGTAACTACATTGGATGAAACTTAGATGGCGTATTTTATGACTTGGCAAAGAAAGAAAAAAGTTTATAGTTACAGGGAATCATGAATATATGGCAACAGTTTTTTCTGAAGTCTTATATTTTGTGGGTCAACCTGTACCTGTGGATGGGAGGGTGGTATCCATTGATAGATTGGAACAGTTTGAGAGTTTAGATAGTTATCAAGTTTTTGGACAGAAATTTCTCTTTATCGAGAAGGTTCAAGACTTTTTAGATTTCATTTTATCCCGAGCTTTAGCGAGGGACAAAATATAATATAAAAAGGCGAGAACCTTCGAGATATAAAGGAAATATTTAGACTTAAAACTGTATAGCACGTTTATTATGAAATTCACGTTGAAGTGAGGAAGAATGATAAAGTACATTGTACACTGTACAATATATGTACACAGTGTTTTTGTTCTATTTTTGTAACTACATTGGATGAAACTTAGATGGCGTATTTTATGACTTGGCAAAGAAAGAAAAAAGTTATAGTTCCAGGGAACCATGAATATATGGCAACAATTTTTTCTGAAGTCTTATATTTTGTGGGTCAACCTGTACCTGTGGATGGGAGGGTGGTATCCATTGATAGATTGGAACAGTTTGAGAGTTTAGATACCACTGAAACAACGCAATAATTGATATTCCACAATTATTTCGAAACAAATGTGTAACAAAATTATTTGAAAATTTAAATAATTAATAATAAGAGTTAGATAATTGCAACCAGTTCTTCATAACATTTGATTGCCATAAAAAAGAAAATATTTTCAAAAATAATATAAATAAAGTTTCAAATTCCGTTATCTGGAGACATGAAAAAATGCCGGGAAATGGTAAAATGGCGGGAAATAATAAAATGGTGGGATATGATAAAATGTGTTCCTTCAGCACCATGCCACGTTTCTCTTCTTCTCCAAGAGAGAAGGGACAGTCTAGCACCACGTGGGGAACAGTTCCATTCTGAACCAGGGGAGGCACAGATAGAGATTCAAGTCGAACCAGGTTAACTCCTTGACAAAAGGTTCTTTTGAACATTTTTTTTAGCACCTCGATAATCTAATTACAATTGTTAATTATTGGTTTAGATATTTACAAAGATTAAAGACCCTACAGGAAAGATAGCAAAACTCAAGTGTTTATATTTCTGTGAATTTCTCCATTGTTTCTTACAAGCAATAAATGCGCAAGTCACCTTTGCAGAGAAACAACCAATAAAAATGAACGGATAAGAAAATGAATCTAATTCCTAATTAATCCGGCAAATAATTCTTAAACACTTAGTTTCCAAACTGTTTTATGTTTAAATTGATAGAGGTGGCAGAGTAAAAACATATTTATGTTCGAATTTATCCAGGAATAAATGTCATCGAGTTCACACAGTACGCACTTGCATTTTAGGTCTTTTTACACAGCATTTGATAGATAATAACACTGAGTTCGAGGCCCCCAAATTATTAGTCAATGTTTTAAAGGGATACTGTTGTAAATCAGGGATGTACCTCTTTAAATGGAAGGTCACTTAAAAAAACGTTTACAGTCCCTTTAACGTAAATGAACCAGATACTTTACCTTGCAGGGAAATTAAGGAAAGAAAAATGAGAAGCATTTTATCGATATTTTTCCATTTCTTTCAAAGGTTCTGAAAAAAATAATTATTTTAAACTCTCAAACATTTCCTTCATCGTAAATATGTTGTTCATCTTTGTTGTGAAATAGAAAAAAATCTGTAAAACTGTCCAAACATTTTTTTAAGGAAATGGAAATCAAAGCTTCGAAAAATTTGATTTTTTCTATTATAAACTGAATACATGTTGGTAATATTTTAGGATGATGACTAATTATATAATCTATTATTTGCAATGAAAATTTTGTAAAATTCGGTTTGTCGATTTATCTAACATTTCTGGTACAACTTTGTGACCTCGCAGCTCCTCAAGTTTTGATTTTATGCACAAGTATGAAGATAAAAAGTTTATCCGGTTAATTATAAAAAATTCACAACATTTTTATTCTTTTCAATAGCTCTTCAATAAGTAAAGTTATTTTTGAAAACTTATGAGATTTCAATCTTATACGTAGAGATATGATTTTAGTTGTACGCGAACAAAAGAAAATTTGTGTGTGTGTTCCCTGGCAGTTTGTTCTACACTAAGGATGGTAAGAGTCCGGTCGGAAGAAACCTCCAGGGTTTTGGAACAACTCCAATAGATTAGTGCCCTGTCTTACTACAAATCACTTTATAAGTATTCACAATTTGTGATTAGGATTCAGAGTATTCTCTTTAACCCTCATCTCTTTATTCCCCCCATCCCTTCATTTCCTTCCATTATTATCTTTACCCCATAATATTCCTTCCCATCCTTATCTTTACTCATAATATGCCTTCCTATTATTATTTTTACTTCCAATATTCCTTACCATCATTATCTTTATTCTTAAAGTTCCTTCCCATTATTATCTTTTCTTATAATATTCTTTCCTATTATTATTTTCACTTACAATATTCCTTCCCATAATTATCTTGACCCATAATTTTCCTTCCTATTTTTATTTTCACTTACAATATTCCTTCCCATTATTATCTTTTCTTATAATATTCCTTCCAATTATTATTTTCACTTACAATATCCTTCCCATAATATTCCCTCCCATTATTATCTTTACTCATAATAATCCTTCCCATTATTATATTTACTCATAATATTCCTTCCCATTACTATCTTTACTCATAATATTTCTTCCTATTATTTTTTTACTCATAATATTCCTTCCCATTACTATCTTTACTCATAATATATCTTCCTATTATTATTTTTTACGTTCAATATTCCTTCCCATCATTATCTTCACCCATAAAGTTCCTTTCCATTATTATCTTTACCCATAAAGTTCCTTCCCATTATTATCTTTTCTTATAATATTCTTACCTATTATTATTTTTACTCATAATATTCCTTCCCATTACTATTTTTACTCATAATATTCCTTTCAATTATTATCTTTACTCATAGTAATCCATCATTATGGTTAATCACGGGTGAAAGATCTAAAGACCAGAAAATTTACAACCATCAGATACANATTAATTTCTTACAAATTTCAGATGAAAGCAAAAGGAAGGAAGCTGACTTCTAAGAGCAAAGTTTCGACATTGAATATCACATTTAACTTACGATAATAATTATCTTATAAGAATTAAATATTTATCAATATATTAGTAATAGCAATTAATAGACCATGAACCAGTAAAGTCCCTTAAACCTCCTTTTTTTCTGTTGAAATTGTTTTAAATCTCAGCAAGGCCCCTGAGCTCGAAATTTATAAGGGAATCGTTGACTGAACCTCTTTTAGGGTCTTAACATCTATGTAGATTTTTTTAAGAGATTCGAAAAAATTGGAGAGTATGATTTTAAATAAAATAATTTTTTATAACAAAAAAATTGAAATCCACAAAACTGCATAAACCCATTCGTGAAACCTGGGTTCTAAAACTGGTTTTCATAACTATTTATACCCTGTCTTAACTTTTGGGCTCTGGCTTATCAAAGTTAACTAAACCTGAAGAATAAAACCTGTACTCTAAACCTGTCAGTTAGTATATATATGCTAGATACAAGACACTTTTAACCCTATCTCTGATGGGGTACTTGAAAACCAGTGATACGCTGGGGGGGGGCAATTTGGCCCCCCCCCCTCTAAATCCCATGTTTTATGTCCAAATATGACAAATGATACATAATTGGAAAGCTCTTGTGCTTTAATTTTAGAATCTGCAAAAAAAATTGCAAATTTGCAAAAATTGAATTTTTTATCGCTAAATCCAGTAATAAAGTAAAAATGTTTGCAAAAAAAAAAGTTGTCCAAAAAATTTAAAATTATACATTTTTGAAAAGCCCTTGACCATGTCATTTCATATATGCAAAAAATTTTGCTAAATTTTAAATAACCTGATTTTTAATCAAGAAAAAGTAAAAATGTGCAAATTTCCTTTGACAGGTTGTTTGCAAAAAATTTGCAATTTTTTTTTCNATTTGATCAAATATAGCTAGAAAGATAACTTGGGTCCTCTTTGAATTATAGGAGTGGAGATCTTGCCTTGATAATTGGCAATTTGATCAAATATAGCTAGAAAGATAACTTGGGTCCTCTTTGAATTATAGGAGTGGGGATCTTGCCTTGATAATTGGCAATCTGATCGAATAAAGCTTAAAAGAAAGCGTGGGTCCTTGTTGAGGTTTACGAGCTGAGATTTGGACTGTGTGTCCTTTAGAACCGGGGAGTTAAGCCTGGTTGAGAAATTGCCTGTGTAGGAATTTCAATTGCCTGTGTGGTAATTAGAAACGAAGAGTTATTCATGGTGGATCTTGGTAACGAGTAGACCTGCATAGCTACATTTCAAGTAAAATTGTTTTGGAGTATAGGTATTTGCCACAAGTTAGGGTATATATATAATGGTTACTGGATACTGGATACTAGTTAGGATATATATATATACTGGATACTGGATACTAGTTAAGATATAGTTAGGGTACAGATACTTGCTGCAAGATACTAGTTAAAATATAGATAGTGGATATTGGATACTAGTTAGTATAGATACTAAATCCTGGATACTATGATGCTAGTAAGGATATAGATACTGGATACTGTATAGTATATACTAGTTAAGATATAGATACTGGATACTGAATACTGGATACTAGTTAGGATATTCATACTGGAAACTGGAAAGTGGATACTAGTTAGGATATAGATACTGGATACTAGAAACTAGTTATAATATAGATATTTGATACAAGCTACTAGCTAAGATAAAGATAATGTTAGTTAGTGTACAGATACTGGATACTGGTTACTATATGCTAGTAAGGATATAGATATCTTGGATATTGGATACTAGCAAGGATATAGTTACTGGATACCGGATACTAGATACTAGTTAGGACATAGATACTGGATACAGGATACTGGACACTAGATACTAATTAGGATATAGATACTAGATACTAGATACTATAGTTAGGGTAAACATACTGAATACTGGATAATAGATAATAGTCAGGATATAGATACTGGATACTAGGTATTAGATTCTAGTTAGGATATAGATGCTGGATGCTGGCTACTAGCTAGGATATAGATACTGGATACTGTATACAACTTAGTAGTTTGGATATAGATACTGGATACTGTATACTGGATATTTTAGTAACGGGTTAGGATATATAAACTGGATACTGAATACTAATTACTAGTTAGGATACAGATACTGGATACTGGATACTAGTTACTTGTTAGGATACAGATACTAGATACTGGATACTAATTACCATGGATATAGATACTGCATACTAAATATACTTATAGTTAAGACATAGATTCTAGACTGGGATACTGGAAACTAGATACTATTCAGGATAAAAATACCAAATAGGGAAGGTATATAACGTACAGAATATGGATATAAGAAGAGGATGTAAGAGGATAGAAGAGTATAAAAGAGGATATAAGAGGATATAAAAGGATATAAGAATATATGANATCTGGTCGGGGATACTCTGCCAAGTCACCAACATGAAAATCAGCTGATGAAAAAGACTGCAAAGAAAACTGAATCAGCAGTCTTGCTAGTGCCCTTTAAGAAAAAATTTGTAAACATTATTATAATACATTTTTTTTGCTTTTAATTGAATTTCTTGAGGAACTTTATAAATTTTAGTGAATTTATCTAGGCGAAAATGACCTTCTAATGTTATCTAGGCCAAATGGTATCTAGGCGAAATGTTGTCTAGGCAAACTGTGTTTAGGCAAAATGTTATCTAGGCAAAATTTTATCTAGGCAAAAAGTTAGTAGGCGAACATGTACTAGGCGAAAGTGTACTAGGCGAACTTGTACTAGGCAAAATGTTACTGAGCCAAAATGGAGGATATAAACGAGAGGGAAGAATCTAAAATGAGAGTGGAGGATATGAAAGAAGAGAGGAGGATATAAAATTAGAAAGAAGGATATAAAAGGAGAGAATGTTGAATATAAAAGGAGAAAGGAGGATATAAAAGGAGAATTTGTTGAATATAAATGAAGAAAGGAGAATATGAAAGGAGAAAGGAGGATGTAAAAGGAGAAAGACGGATATAAACTAAATCCAGATGAGGGAAGAAGTGTCTTCAGATTGATTAGAACTAATGAGTAAATAGATCAATTTGTTTCTTGATTGCTGGAAAAGGAAATAGATACAAGATAAATATAACAATACAAATCTGTTTAACAGAGAAGCTTTGAATACGTTCACTGAAATGGATCAAGAATCTTAGAATGATAAAATAACAGTAAAAAAAGGTTTTGAAAATTAAAATGTTGAACTGAATTAATATTAATTCTGGGTTCGTAAATACACATTTTATAAAACTGTTGCAACCGTGCAACAGTTTTGTTGACTTAGACTTTTAATATACTAAAGCTGAAATCGACCGCTTTCATGAATAAAAGATATGATAATGAAAATTACTTTATATTTATATTTTTGAGTCGTTGCAACCAACTCTGATTTTCTAATTTTAATATATTTGCAAACCAAATGTCGTAGACCTTTAAATTTCAAACCATGAATTCTGTTAGATCAAATAATTAAAGTTTCAAATTT